TCACTTTCGGGACAAATTCTTTTAGCTCGCTAAAAATAACTGATAATTCGTTAATTAAGCGGAAAAACGAGCTTTAATTTACGTTTTGCAAACGAAAGGTCACATACTCATTTCTTTTTCCTCACTTCTTCCCCCTCATCAGGCCTACTTTACCTCTCTCTTCCAACCTTTCCCTCCCTTCCTCGATGCCCGTTCGATTAATGCTTAGTACACAACTAGAAAATGGTGGCATTTTGTGCTGGGCACTACTGCTGCTTGCAGCCTGAGCGCCTCGATGCACAGCACGAGTATGATATTCGAGCGGATGTGTGGAGTGTTGGAATTTCGCTGGTTGAACTCGCCAGAGGTGAATACCCGTATCGTGGATGCAACAGTGAATTCGAAGTGCTGACACGAATTGTCTCAGATCCGGCACCAGAGCTCAAAACCGAAGAAGGCTTCTCGCCCTTATTTTGTGATTTTGTTAGTCGTTGTCTCACCAAAGATTACCGCGCTCGACCAAAATATAAGGAACTTTTGGTACGTTTTAATAAGTTCTTACATATTTCTACAAATGCAAAAATTCATATTATCAAAAGGCCATCTCTGTTTGTGTTCTTAAGGGGAGAGGATCAACGGGGGAGGGGCGAAAGGGGGAAGGGGAGAAAGAGGCGCTAGTGAATTTTGTCACCACCTTCAACTTGCAACCAGAAGAGCTAGGAAGCTAAAATTTTTGGGTGGTGTTCTCATCCCGCGTGCGACCCTCGTTTGCAAAATCAACGCCAATGACATCTAGATTTCACGTAAAAACGTCTGAAGGAAGGAAGTGTTTTAGCGAAAACGATTTCAAAAACTACCGAAAGCTAAAATTTTTTGAGAATTTACTCTGTTCATACGAACTGGAAATCTTAAATTCAGGTATCACGTACGCTTACGTCACGCGTATTGACACATCAAATTTCGTCGTTGGCATCTGGCTGACTCGGGTATTAGTGTGGAAAAGATAGTGTGGCTTTACAGAATATTTACCATCCATACGGGTGCTTGTTTTTCTAAACTAACTTTTGGTCTGGGCCTGCGTCATGCGCAAGAGCGTGTCCAAAATAACTGTAGCGAAGTGGCGATTTCGGAAAACCAACAATCTGGGAAACTGAGATTTTACCAGGATATTTTATGCGTACTTTTAGGGCTAATTCATTGACGTTACTTTCCTGAAAAATTCATTATTGCGAATTCCAGGAGCACAGTTGGCTCGAGTATTATGAAACGGCTAACGTGGATGTTGCTGCGTGGTATCAAACCATCGTTCAAAGTTGATTCTATGTAAAAAATGAGTTCCATGTCTTTGGTAAATAGATAATATTATGGACAGAATAATGTTCGTTATTGAGGCCTTATTACAGAAAGGTTCAGAGTGCCGTAATTTTGCTACGTTCTCATTACTTCTTCGCACTCCTTCCAACTTCTCATTATTTCTCGCTTGGGACAGTTATATAATAAATGACCAGCGCACCAACTACCGGTGCGAAGATGCGTTTTTTGCATAGTTCCCCACAGTTTTTGTCGCTTCCGGCACCGGTTTTTCTGACAGATGCTTCTAGCTGAGAGAATTGTGGCTGATCACCAGGGCTGTTTGAAAATGTCCCTTTAAAATTCCAGTCTTCTGGCTTTTCAGGTTCCCGATTTAGCAAATTACCCGAAAAAAATTTGGCGAGCCCGTATGTGGGTACCGCGCGGTAAGAGCTCCCATTTTGGAGATGGGGGTCGTGCAGACATGTAGCTTAAGTTCTCAAAGTTTCAGCCCCATAGCTTTTGTAGGTCTCGAGATGAAAAACCGGTATAGACGCAGAACGTACACACAGACACATATACACACAAACAACCCCTTATCAATATGAGTATCCTTTGCATTGCATAGATGCAAAAAACGCTTAAAAACACAAACGTTGGAGCAGTTTTAAGAGTTTCTAATTTTGTTTCTGTTACAGTGTGTTCGAGAAACTCGTTAGCCGCTCATAGAAATGAGTCTTTTTCTGCTGAGCAGTTATATCTGTTATTTGTGCTCAATGAATTCATTATGACTGTTATTTTGTTGCTCGATCTACGTGATGTCACTAAAATTTTAGATTTCAAATGCCATAGTACTACGATTTACGCGGCCTTCTCCATCCCGGTAGCTTCCTGCCTTCGCAACTCTGACTTTGCCTGTACCTTTCTCTTAATGGACGTTGCCCTGAGAGATACTGCTTTTACTAGAAGGAGGTACCTCGCCGGTTTTCTTTCTCCTGAACTCTTGATAAGCAATCAGAAAACATCTCAAATCCCTGGTGTGCGAAAATTTATTGCAGGAATGTGTCATTTATTGCAGGAATGTGTCATTTATTGCAGGAATGTGTCAGAAATGGAATATCTGTTTTCCTCAGCGACCGCTGCTTTTTTTTGCTGCATGCTTTTAGGATTGTACCATAAAAGTGGTACTTCTGCATTATTTCCATACTGTTGTTTTCTCATTGTTGATAATTTTCCTTCCATTCTAAATGATATGTATCACAGGAACTGCAAATTTTGCTGTATTGTTGTGTCGGAAGCGGGAATTTTTTCAGAGTGCTATAAAAATGTGATCGCGTACAGTAACAGAGCGACAGAGCAGGACATAGTAAGCCGATTGTAGCTTCCAGTTTGATCTAGGATGCCAAAGTAAAACCAGTATGCGGTAAAATTAGGTGCATTCCATTGGGAATATGGGAAATTTAGGAAAGATGAGAAACTGAAATACCTGTAAAAACAAGTTACATGAAGCGACATTAAGATCGTAACAAAATATAGTTGGATTCGGTGTGTAACAAAATTTTATTATGCATTTTTTACATGAAAAGATCGACACTTATTTGTATCACTTCCTGATTATCCATTTCCGCCATTTTCGGTTTCCGATCGTCTTTGTTTGAATCCTTCTTCTTTAGGTTCGTTTACGACTTGGCTTTTTTTGGCTCGATTTTTTATTTTTTGGATTGCTTTCGATTAGCTGTTCAATTAATGACCGTGAGTTGTTCTTTTCTTTGAGCTGCGATAAATGAATAAGAGCTTTTGGCTGTTGGCACCATACAGCGAAGTATACTCCGTTCGTGCCTATAGCCTCACTTCCCATCCTTTCTTGCATTTTCCTCTTTCTCCTAACAACTCCCTTCCCATATGCATGTTTTCGCAAGTTCATTTTCCCTTTTCCATTACCTTTTTACCGAAATTATGCACATATTCGACGCTGTTTGACTTGTACCCAAAAATGAGTGCATGTTAAGTGGGAACTGACTTCCCCTCAGCACTGAGTTTCGCGAAGTATATGAAGGTCATAGGAGCGAGCATAAACAAATAGCGGAGCGCACCAGGACAGTCTGTGCGTTTTGGGCAATTTCTTTCAACAAACGATTGCTTGTTAATGTTGAAGAGTAGTTAAAAATTCCACGCACCAGTACGTGAAAGCTGAATTTGAAGCCTCAAAGATTGGATATCCTTCGAAAATTTTAATCTCAATCTTCTGGCGTTCGAATAAAACGTCCACGTGGTTTGTACGTAAGACCTCATCGTACCTAGGAACTGGATTCGAGTTTGTCAAGCTCCTGCTTAGGGAGGAAACACTTTTCCGAAATT